TTGAAGCAGCCCAAATCTGGAAAATTGTGCACCCACAGCACGGAAAAGAATCCATTTGCTATGCTGGCTGGCTGAGGGTTCCTGGGGATTATTAAGAGGAAACGGCAACACTGTGTATGTGTGTGTTTACATCTCTAGGTCATCTCAATTTGTAAGAAAAATTTGACAAAAACATACATGGAAATGTGCACATATGTGTACACTCGGTGTGTATCTAAGGGAAGTATAGAAGCATGCACACCTGTTAACAGGGGTTTCTTGGGTTGGGGGTGGTTGATGCGGGCCAGGAGAGAGGGGAGAGGCAAAGGAGAGACTTGTGCTGCTCCCCTAGAAGTCGCCTCTCCTGCTTTCCGGACCGCAGCCTTCCCCCATCCATCAGTCCACCCCCGACAGGGCAGCTGGGCCCAGCCTTCGCCAGTGTCTGGGAGTCCTGCAGCACTTCCTGTTTCTGTCGGTCAGGAGTCTATAGTGGCATATTTATTCTCTACCATTTGCTAGCTGTTTCTATGTTTCTTAGAGACAAAGCGGTGTAGCGGTTAACAGCGTGGACTGCTGAGTCACGCTGCTGGTTCGATTCCCAGCCCCATCACTTACTCACTGCTGTGTGGCCTCGGCGTTGTTCTTCCCATCTGTGAAATGGGAATACCAGCAGCACGTATCGAGGGTGTGAGGAGGAGCAGATGAGTACACAGAGGCGCCCAGAGCAGCGCCCGGCCTGGTGCTGCTACAGAGTGAGCTGTGTCACCAGGACCACAATCATCTCAGCTACCTAGACTGTCAACTCTTGGAGGTATTTTAAACCACCAACACTCTCTTACATTCTTTTGTATCCCTTCCTCATTATTTACTAGAATAACCTCATTCCAAGGCCCTCAGGCATTTATTGAAGAAGTGAATGAATGACTCTTAGATGTGAGAAGTCTGCAGGGAAGGAAGTTGCCGAGCGTGTGTCACTTACATGGCAACCAGCAAGTAAAAGTCCACGGCTGACTTCGCCTGGCAGTTAAACCTATTTTGTTAAGAGGGGACAATATTGTCTTAAAATCGGTCTCCTGGGACGGCACAGGAAGGCTTTCATCTCCACTCACAAAGCTACAGGCACAAACACAGGGAAGAGCCTCAATCGTAACAAGGAAACCTGAGCCACTGGACGGGGAACATCAGAGTCAGGGCTCCTTTGGGAACGTGTCAGGTATGCTTCATATAAAAATAAATTGCATTAAACAATACATTTCTTTAAAGTACTAGATGAGATGTGCTTGAACCCTTCAATTGTAGCTGTCATCTGTTCATTCTCTGTGTGTCCTGTCCACACTTATCTCATGATGTTTGTTTCTCTGGAGGTTTAAATGGGTCTGGACCTTGTGGGCCAAGAGACAATAAGAAGCAATTTAGACAATGATGAGAACACCTCCGATGCCATCCTCTCTCTCCTCTCTCCCGCGTGAATGTTCAGCTTCTCCCTCTCTATTGGACCATGACCACCAACATGTTAACATGCTTAGGTCTCCCCCAAATGAAAACAAAATAAAAATGCCCTATTTCGGTACCATCCACCTCTGGCTCACAGCCAGATGTGTGGAAGGAGCGTGTGTGCCTCTTCGCTCCCTTCTCACTTCCCGCGTGCTCCTCACCCACTCGGTGTGGCTTTGGCCCATCCATCTGTAACAACGGCCAGCAACGGACTCCGCCCACTAGCCCCTCGCGCCCTCTTCGCCTCACCTCCCCAGACCTGAGCCCTGCTGCTCAGGCCTCTCTCCACCTCTCACCCACACGGCCCCTCCCTGCCGCCCAGGGGTTTCCAGTGTCAACAAGGAGGGCGTAACCCCCACACCTTTCTGCTACAGGAAATCCAAACACATATATAAATTCATAAGGGTGTGTGTTTATGTGTTTATTTTTTCTGAAATAGAATCCTACAATGCATGTTACTTTGCAGTTTCCTTTCTCCTCTTGACATTATATCCTGGACAGGCTACAAGGCAGAAAAAACATTTCTAGCTCCACCTTAAAAACACTTTATTCTGGCATATACATGTATGTCCATCAGTCATAACTACGAAGTATGCGTTAGCAATCAGAACAAGTCCTTCCATTTTCAGAAATGAGAGGGGAAACACTCGGTTTTGCACCTGGGGGTCCTCTGGAGAGCATCCAGCGGCGAGGGGCCCGGAGCTGGAAGGTGCACGGGCTGCAGCTTGGAGCTGACCCCGCCCGCTGGCCCCTCTCCATCGGCCTCTGTGCCTTTGGAAGCACGGAGCAGCCAACTGAAAACAAGGGCTCCACTCTCTGTGTCTGGGTCTAAATATTACATTTTAAAAATATTTCACATCGCTGAGCAAGATGACGGATGACTCTAAGGCTCTGAAAATCACTCTGCTGTCCCCTTCAAAGGTCACCTGGGGAGGGGACAGCCACACTCCAGCAACAGTGCCGCTCGCTCCAATAGTTTTGGAAAATTTTCCTTTAGTCTAAGCATCTTCCACTTTCTTTTTCTTTCTGATTTGAAAGGCACTTTAAAAAGTAACACCTGCCCTGGGTGGAAGCCGAGTGGAACAGACAGGTCACCCCACTCCTGCTCTGCAGTGAACATCGGTCCCAGTGGGGAGAGCGGGATCTGCTGACAGGAGTTTATCAGAGTCCAGTCGTGGCCCCAAACGCCAGATCCTTTCCTTACAACTTCCCATCTAACCCCCTTCTAGGAACCTTCTGAAAACTCTAGTTTTCACAAGTATCTTCAAACACTACCTTCTTAAAATAAAAATCTGTAGAGTTCCAAAAAGCCCAGAAAATTTAAAGATCTCCATATTCCTTCACTTATAGTAGACTATAATTGCTTCTATAGGGAAATTTCCAAAAGTTGAATTTCCATCATTCACTAGAAGAGATGAACCGGATGAATTTCCTTCCCCTTGCCATACAGAATCAAAGGGGTTAATAGCAACAACACAAAACAAAAACCCAAAGGGGTAACACAGGAAGGAGAAAAACAGATTTTAAAAATGTTTTCTGTTGGTTAATCCTCATCAGAGGATATTTTCCCATTGATTTTTAGAAAGAGTGGAAGGGAGGGAGGAGAAGACAGAGAGAGACAGAAACATCGACTTAGGAGAGGCACAGTGATCGGTTGCCCCCCCCACAACCCTGACTGGGGCCAGGGACTGAACTGGCAACCCAGGTAGGTGCCCTTGACCAGGAATCGAACCCAAGACCCTTCAGTCCTCGGGCCGATGCTCTAACCGCTGAGCCAAACTGGCCAAGGTGGGAAAAACAAATCTTAAGAGGAACTTTGGACACAACGACAGAAAGCTATCGACACCGAGTAAGCACGACACCTTCAGACAGCACTGGAGGAGCAGACCCAGAGCTGGTGCCTCGCCCGCCTCACCCGGCCCGCGAGGACTGGCCGGCCGGGAGCTGGCTGCCTCCTCAGGGGGTGAAGGACGGCCCGGGGGCCCCGAGGCCTGTCTCTGGGAGGCCGGCCAGCGAAGAATAACTTTTACATTTTCATATATTTGAAAAAAAAATTTAGTGGCACATATAAAAATCACACGAAATTCAAATTTCTCTGTCCACATATGGTTTTGTGGGACACAGCCACGACCACCCATTCATGTTGACAGCTCCCTGAGCGGCTCCAACAGAGAACCCGGGGCCTGCAAAGCCTAGTCTTTACCATCTTCCTCTTCACAGGAAAATCTGAGCCCTGTTCGAGACCACACGTTACAGCCACTGATGCTCTGGTGACCTGAGGCTGGTCTCCCCCTCTCTGACCCACCCTGGTGGACGAGGGGGCCCGGGGGGGTGCTGGCCCAGATGCCCAGATGCCCGGCTGAAGTCCTGAACGCACTTGTCCCACCGGGCCGAGTGAGCGAGAACTCACTGGTGCCACCTACAGCCCATGACGAAAATGGCAGGTGAGGCTGCCCGCGGAGGCTCACACCCCCGCAGGTCCCCGCTTGGCTGTCCTCTCTGGTGGAGGGCTCTTAAGTAAACTGTCCCCCCAAAAGATGACAGCAATGAGCGGAAACCTGGCCTGTACACACCCTTTACACGGCGAGACTACAACTCCCAATGGCAAGGCTTCTGGCAGCAGCCAGGCCCACAGAACAGGGGCACTGAGACCACGTTGTCACAGGGACTAGAGAGCACACAGCGCGTGTTCTTTCTGGGTCTGAAGGGAAATGGTGAAAATCCCTCTCCGGCCCACGAGTCACCATTCTCCACCCACATCACTTCTGAACACTGATGCTCTAGAAAACAAGACACGCAGATTTTTCACAGCTGGGGAAGCCCGTCAAAAGACTGCAAAGCAACAGAGTCAACTGGTGAGGTCTGCCAGCCCCGAGCCAAGCCCCGTGCTCACCCGCCACAGGTGCTCACCGTGGGCTCGTGCCCAGCTCTCCCTCCACGGAGACAGGTGGGAGCTCAGGCCCCTTCAAAGCAAACAGTTCCCGTCGAAGAACCATCTTTCGACCTCCCATGGAGTGTGGCCTCCCCATGCTGGCTGCAGGACACCCCCAGAGCGGCAGACGGACTTCAGACACGGCCCCCCAGGCCTCCCACCGTCCTCCACCTGAACTCTCCTGTGGGTGGAGCCTACCTGCTGCCTCCTCCCCCCGGTCCTGAATGCACCCGGGCAGCAGGAGCAGAGGCCACATTCTGGGACTGCTGCGCCCAGCAGAGGACGGGAGCTTCCCCTTCTTCCTTCTTGGAGCCCGCACCCCCGATAAGGAAGCCCAGGCTAGACCACTGAGTGGGCAGAGGCCCTGTGGAGAGGCCGTGGAGGGTGCGAGGCCAGCGTGGACACAGAAAGCAGCAGCCCCAGGACGCCCGCTGAGAACCCGCAGCAGACCCAGCCGAACTCCGGCCAAACTCCAGAACCGAGGGAAGTGCCTGGGAGCAAGTCTCCGTTTCTGGGCTAACTTTTCGAGGCGAGGAAAGGACTCGGAATTGTCTGACCCCAGTTCCCTATGTGGTCTCAAGAACCTCCAACTTACCTCCTCATCTTCATCGTCATCATCATCAGAGTCAAGACCACCACCCGGGAGCTCTTCTGCAAAGAAAACACCAGTGAGTAACGCGGACGCAGTCGGGGCCTCTGCGGACAAGCGTCGGCACCCTCGTGAGAGTGAGGTCACATCGAAGCAAGCGTGTTCCTAGTCCAGTTCAGCCATAGTTTGATATCATGTTAAGAAATTTTAAATACATCTCTCCATTTTTTTTTTTTTTTATCCTCACCTGAGGATATTTTCCATTTTTTTGTACAGATAGAGTGGGAGGGAGAGAGAGAGGAAGGGAGAGAGAGAGAAACATCGACGTGAAGGGACACATCGAGTGGCTGCCACCCGCACAACCAACCAGGGCCGGGGACAAACTGCAACCGAAGTACGTGCCCTTAGCGGGAACCGAACCTGGGTCTCTCCGGACCGCAGGCCGACGCTCTAACCGCTGAGCCAAACCGGCCAGGGCAAGAAATGTTAAATACATCTCTCCATTTTTAACAGGACAAATGAAGCAGCCTCATTCTTAAGGAAGGACCCACTGAGTGAGCGGGCCCAAGGGCAGGACAGCTCCTGTCCCCCTCCACCAGGATGGAGCTTGCGTGCATCCACACCGACCAGGGGATGTGCCACTGTCAGGGACTCGTTGACTCAAGAAAGCCACTCTGCAGACAGGAACTTCTGTTCCCTAAGCCCCTGAACAGCAAGACCCCAATTCCACCTTCTGAAAAGGGCCTGCAGCATCTTCAAAATGGAGATGCTGCGATATTCATCAATGATAAACCTTTCTTTTCAAATACAGAAATGCCCCCCGCCGCCTTTTAAAAAGAGTCTTACACATTTCCTGAGGCCACAGGCTAGTCCAGCCATATTCCCGTCCCCGAGCCTTTTGGTTCAGGCTCATCCTATCCCTGGAACAGCCCAGTCCTGGGAACTGAAGCAGCATATGAACCTTGGCTTTTCCTCTCTGGGGTGATGGGACATGAGCCCTGCCCCCAGTTCCTGGACTGTATCCTTCCTTTCCTGCGGGCCCAGCGGTGAGGCTGGCTCCTGCCCAGTGGCCTATCAGGGCTTCCTGTCCTCTCTTCAGGCACCAGCCAGTGTCTGCCGGACCCCTAGCCGAGGGCTGGAGTTATCCCATAGGCTTCATCAGAGCAGTCCCCCCCCCCCCGGGGGCCAGGTTCCTGAAACATACGGGGAACGTCTATACTTGAAGACCTTCGCACTAGGAGACTGACAGGAACCTGACAGTGTGGAAACCTATGTACATGCTCTTCTGTTCCCTAAAATGAAACAAGGAAGCACAGGTGGTGCAGCGCCACTCCAGACACCTCACCAGTGCCCCACGACTGCTCCCTACTCTGTGTTTGTCTGGAGGGAGCAGCTGGACTGGATGGACGCCCCAGCTCGCCCTCCTCCAGGCCCATCGAGATGCTGGCAGGTTGCCTTGGACGTGATGCTGAGGACACGCTTGCTGGGGCATCTGCGTGCATGTCTGGTCCTCCACCCAGTGTCCAATGACTGACTGTTCAGAGTCGCGGACTCCTGGGCACTCATCTCTGGGTCCCGCCATTGTCCTTGTCTAAACTGTCTTTATTTAAACTGGGACTTACTGACTTACGCAGGTATTTCCCGAGCCTTTCCTGAACCAAAAGGTCACGGACTCAGCTCTGCCAAAGCACATCCCTGGCAGAAGTGTAAATGGAGCCCTCCCTCCGTTCTGGGCACGACGGTCCCAGGGCCAGATTCACGGAAGGGAAAGATGCTTTCAGCCAGAGCTGGGTGTGGGGCACCTGCTTCGGGCTGCGGGGCGGGGGGAGGCTGGCCAGGAAAGGGAGGCGCCCTGAGGGACAGCCCCAACCCGGCGGGACCCTGCTGCAGGAGCCCGCTTGGGAGGGAGGTGTCAGGTGACCTGGGAGAAGGCAGGGAACAACCCCCCCAGCATTTCTCCGCCTTCCCAAACTGGGGCCTGGCTTCCAGAGACGGTTAGGGAGCAGCCCGCCGGGACTGGGGCCAAGCTTCTCTCTCCGCTTTTGTCTAACATCCGCCCAGTAGGATGGGGCGCAAGCAGGGTCCAAGTTGTGGCAGAAAATAAAGCCCTATCCCTGCCAGCCTGAATTTGGGATGGATTGCGCTTGCTCCATAGAAGCCAGAGGAAGGATGTTCAGGTGGAAATGGGCCCCAGCCTGAAGGGAGCTGGGCCGCTGGGCTCCCTGCTGCTGTCCTGGCCACCAGGAGCCCTGTCAGGTCCACGTGTGCCTCCCCCTTCCTGCGGGTGCCTCCCCCTTTCCGCGTGTGCCTCCCCCTTCCTGCGTGTGCCTCCCCATTTCTGCGTGTGCCTCCCCATTTCTGCGTGTGCCTCCCCATTTCTGCGTGTGCCTCCCCATTTCTGCGTGTGCCTCCCCCTTCCTGTGTGTGCCTCCCCATTTCTGCGTGTGCCTCCCCCTTCCTGCGTGTGCCTCCCCCTTCCTGCGTGTGCCTCCCCATTTCTGCGTCTGCCTGAGGCAGGGACACGCCACCTTGGCTGAACATTGGAATCACCTGGAAGCTTTAAACACCACTCACCCCTGGGGCTTCATCCCCCCCCAACCCCCCCCAAATTCTGATTTAATTGGAGTGGGGCCTGCCCCGGGCAGCCAGCTGTCAATCATGAGCTGGAGGGGCCATGTGTGGGCTTCTCCAGGGAAGGGTCTGGCATCTCCCTTTGCTTGGCCTTGGTCGAGCTGCTGACTTGGGATTAAAGCAGAGATTGAGAGATTCATTTTTTTACCTTGTCCACGTGCTGACAGGATGTGTGCACTTGGACTTTCAGGGATGTGGACTGCTGGGTGTCAGGGCAGGGCAGGTAGAGACATAAGTGACATGTTTGGCCCCTGGCACGTGTACGAGTCAGGAAGAAGGTGTTGAAGAGTCCACAGAAAGAGCTCGGAGTTTCCCCACCACCCTGTCCCAACCAACGCTTCCTTCACTGGTCTCTTCTGCTATTAGGGGATGTGGGTTGTCATGGTCATGAAAGAAGCCAGATAGGAAGGAGATCACATCCTCCCACGCTGTCCGTGGTAACATACATGTTTCTGGAGTGAATGACTAGAAGGACGAGCACGTTTTCTACAGTGCTGCTAGGAAGATGGGCATCCGTCTTCATTTCCTACCCTAGGACTCGGGGAAGCCCCTCTTCGAAGGTGGGGGAAGAATTAGGAGGGCGAGACCCATATCACAAGAACTTAGAGAAGGGTTTTTGTAACTGCTTTTGAATTGTTTTTGTTGACTATAAGCCTAAAGTGTCATAAGTGATTGTTGATTTCGGGACAGTGTGGCCTTGACTACCTGGGTGAACTTTTGTTTCTGGGTTCACTTGGGCCCTTGAAAAACTCCAAGACATGACAAGCCCTGTAAGAGAGCCCACGTATCTTTCTGGCACATGTGAAAGAGTCAAAAGATAGACCATGGATTCCTGCATTAAACGAACCTGAATTAAGCTGCTTGATGATGAATTCGATCTGGCGGGTCATCTCAGCGTTGCCTTCTTTCATGAAGCAGCGAAGGATGTCTTCCATCCCCTGTGGCATTGGAGGGAGAAGCCGTTAGCATTTCCGTCTTGGTGGGGGAACCTTTCAGTGGGGTGGTTTTAGCGAATCCCCCAAAACACATTCTTATATATACATGATGAAAATTCCTCTGCTCAGAACTAAAAATTTTTTTTGTTCTTTTTATAATTTATAGTAAAATTTTCTTCTTGGTTATCTGACCTAATTATAACAGTTATATTTTTTAATATGTTTTTATTGATTTTTTTAGAGAGAGAGGATAGAAGAAAAAGAAACAATGATGTGAGAGAGAAACATTGATCGGCTGCTTCCTGCACGCCCCGTACTAGGGAACAAGCCCCAAACCCAGGCACGTGTCCTGACCCGGAATTGAACTAGTGACTTCTTGGTGGATGGGAGACACTCAATCCACTGAGCCATACTGGCCAGGCACCTATAACACATTTAGTAAACAAACAAACAAAAGAACCCATTATAAAATTTTACTGCATAAGTATTCTCTTTAGTTTTGGCAATATGTTGTTTTTGGGGGTGGTGTCTTTCCTGTTTTCCCTACATTTATACACTGCCTTCTGGATTTTAGGGTAAAATTTGGTTTTTGAAAAGTGAAACCTATGTTCAGAGAAGTAAATGAATAAGTAGGACCTCTTTTTAAAGTTATCATTTTGTTTCTATAAAAACCATTATAAAAGCACAATACTATGCATTATTTACTTTGTTACAAAACACGCACACCATGACTTTCAGTACTGGCCACCAGAGTCCAGGGAAACGCAGAGGTGAGTGCGTCCCTCCTTCCTCTCTCCCGGCAGGATCTGAGTGAGTACGTGTGGCTGGGGCTGATGAAGCCTTCTCGCCGCGAGGGACCGTGTATTTAATAATGAACCCAGAGAGGAAGCGGGTCTAAGGGGGCCGGTGAAGAAGTGGACCTAGGAACGTGAACCCTGATCAAGCCACGCCTGAAGTTTCTGCCTGGACTTTTCAGTTTCACGAGCTAACAAGTTCCCTTCTCATGCAGGCTAGGTTGGAATCCACAGCTCAGGAACTGAATTAATGAAGTACTAGGTGCATCATCTGAAGCAGGCATTACCTTCTAGAAAGGTTACATCTGGGTTGTAATCCTAACTCCCCCATGAGTTAATTGTGTGACCTTGGTCAAATTACTTAACCTCTGTCAAACAAAATGAGGATGACAACTTGAGTGAACATGAGAGTTTTAGAAGCTAAAGTATATAATTAGGTGCTGGTTTTGTAAATGTATACACTTATCAAATGCACTAAACTGTATATGTAAGGCCTGTACATTTCATTGTTTGTAAATTATGCCTGAAAAAGAGCATCTAGTTCAATGGCTGGCACATAGTAGATGCTCATTAAATGGTTGAGTCTGGGCTTGTCTCTGGTATGGGTTTGTAGCTCAGAACAGAGAGCTGGTGGCTGAGGCCAAGGGAATAACCAAGGCTCCCCAGGGACAGCAGGGTGAGAGGAGGGTTGGGACAGAACCTTAGGGAACAGGCACACTCGACTAGGCGGCAGAGGCAGGGAAGCCCATAGAGCTGCACCTAACGGAGGGTCGGGAAGAAAAGGACTCTGGAAAGTCCTTAAGTCGAGATGAGCCTTTCAAAGACGGCGTGGTCAGCAGTGCTGAGGCTCCTGCGGGACCAGCCAGTCTCCCGGGCTGCCTCACCGAGGCTGTCAGGAGAGCTGGGTTTCCGTCTCCCCACCTCCCACACTGGTCTCCCCGTTCTCCACCCCCACCCAAGGCAAGGGCCAGAGGAAGAAGAGCACAGAAGTGAAAGCGGCGTGGAAGCCCCTGAAAGGCCAAGTCAGGATCCCCACGCGCAGTCACCAGTGGAGAGACACTCATTCAGGCTCGTCTCCATTTCTTCCGCCCCAGAGGCTACTTTTGCAAACAATCACCTGCTCATACACTGAAATATATATTTTTCATTTGCTCTCTTGCATGTAGCTCTAGCTGTTGTTACTTGGGGTAAAAACAGGTCACAAATTCCTTCTATGTAATTAGAAGGCTCACTTGGGGAAACTTTTTTTTAATCAGTCAATTATAATAAATTAAAATTATAAAGATGGCCTTTCTGTGTTTTCCAGAACTTTTCTGTTGTTGTTCAAAGTATTACAGATGTCCCCCTTATTTCCCCATTGACCTCCTCCTTCCCGCTCCCACCCCCCTCCTGCCTTCCCCAGATTAGTGTCCATGTGGAATGGTTGCGCATATATACGTATAAATTCTTTGGTTTATCTCTTCCCGCCCCCACACCCCATCCCTCTGAGGTTTGTCAGTCTGTTTCCTGATTCCATGATTCTGGATCTCTTGGTCAACAGCTTATTTTGTTCATCATGTTCTACAAATAAGTGAGACCATGTGATATTTGTCTTTCTCTGACTGGCTTATTTCACTCAGCATAACACTCTCCAGGTCCCTCCATGTCATCTCAAAGGGTAAGAGGTCTCTCTTTCTTACAGCTGCATAGTACTCCATTGTGTATATGTACCACAGCCTTTTTATCCATTCGTCTCCTGATGGACACTTGGGCTGTTTCCAGATCTTAGCAATTGTAAATAGTGCTGCTATGAACATAGGGGTACATATATTCTTTCTGATTGGTGTTTCAGGCTTCTTAGGATATATTCCTAGAAGTGAGATCACTGGGTCAAATGACAGTTCCATTTTTAATTTTTTGAGGAAACATTATATTGTTTTCCATAGTGGCTGCACCAGTCTGCATTCCCACCAATAGTGTGCTAGGGTACCCTTTACTCCACACCCTCGTCAGCACTTGTTGTTTGAGGATTTGTTGATGGCGGCCATTCTGGCAGGTGTGAGACGGTACCTCATAGTCGTTTTAATTTGCATCTCTCTGATAACTAGAGATATTGAGCATTTTTTCATATGTCTCCTGGCCACTTGTATTTCCTGTCTGGAGAAGTTTCTATTCAGGTCCTTTGCCCATTTTTTAATTGGATTGTCTGTCTTCCTTTTGTTGAGTTGTATGAGTACTTTATATATTTTGGATATTAACCCCTTATCTGAAGTATCATTAGCAATATTCTCCCAGAAAGTGGGTTCCCTTTTCATTTTGATGCTGGTTTCTTCTGCCGTGTAGCTTTTTAGTTTGATGTAATCCAATTTATTCACTTTTTCCTTTGTTTCTCTTGCTCTAGGCCAGTGGTTCTCAACATTCCTAATGCTGCGACCCTTTAACACAGGTCCTCATGTTGTATGTGGGCGTATCTGCACGTGGGAGGACCCGCCTGGAGACGGATAGAGGAGCAGTGTCTCAGTTCCTAAGACCATCGGAAATATGTGTTTTCCGATGGTCTTAGGCCACCCCTGTGAAAGGGTCGTTTGACCCCCAAAGGGGTCACGACACACAGGTTGATAACCGCTGCCCTAGGCGATATATCAGTGAAAATTCTGCTACATATGATGTCTGAGATTTTTCTGCCTACATTTTCTTCTAGGATTTTTATGGATTCATGGGTTACATTTAAGTCTTTTATCCATTTTGAGTTTATTCTTGTGTATGGTGTAAATTGGTAGTCTAGTTTCATGTTTTTGCATGTAGCTGTCCAATTTTCCCAGCACCATTTATTGAAGAGACTGTCTTTTCTCCAGTGTATGCTCTTGTCTCCTTTGTCGAATATTAATTGAGCATACTGCCTTGGGTCGATAGCTGGGTTCTCTGTTCTGTTCCATTGATCTATATGCCTGTTCTTGTGCCAGTACCAGGCTGTTTTGATTAAGGTGGCTTTGTAGTATAACCTCATATATGGTATTGTGATCCCTCCCACTTTGTTCTTCTTTTTCAAGATTGCTGTGGCTATTTGGAGTCTTTTATGGTTCCATATAAACGTTTGTGGAGTATTTGTGCTACATCTGTGAAATATGCCGTTGGTACTTTAGTAAGGATTGCATTGAATCTGTAGATTGCTTTGGGTAGTATGGACATTTTCATGATCATTTTTTCCAACCCATGAACACGGTATGTTTCCACTTTTTTATATCTTTCTCTATTTCTTTTTTTTTCTATCCTCACCCAAGGACATTTTTCCATTTTTTGTTCGGATGAAGTGGGAGGAAGGGAGAGAGAAACATCGACATGAAAGGGACACATCAAGTGGTTGCCACCCACACGACCCAACCATGGCCAGGGACAAACTGCAACCGAGGTACGTGCCCTTAGCGGGAACCGAACCTGCATCTGTCTGGACTGCAGGCCGACGCTCTACCTGCTGAGCCAAACCAGCCAGGGCTCTCTATTTCTTTTTTCAATGTACTGCAGTTTCCTGAGAACAGGTCTTTTACCTCCTTGGTTAAGTTTATTCCTGGGTATTTTAATTGTTTTGTTGTTGCTATGGTGAATGGGATTGTTTTTTTAGTTTCCTTTTCTGAGTTTTCATTATTGGTGTATAAGAATGCCAATAACATCGATTTCTGAATGTTAATTTTGTATCCTGCTATTTTGCCAAATTCATTTATTAAATCTAGTAAATTCTTGATGGAGTCTTTATGGTTTTCTATGTACAATATCATGTCATCTGCGAATAATGACAGTTTCACTTCCTCCTTTCCAATTTGGATCCCTTTTATTTTTCCTTTTTGTCTAATTGTTGTGGCTAAGACTTCCAATACTATGTTAAATAATAGTGGTGAAAGTCGGCATCCCTGTCTTGTTCCTGTTCTTAAGGGAAATGTTTTTAGTTTTTGCCCATTGAGAATGATGTTGGCTGTAGGTCTTTCATATATGGCCTTAATTATGTTGAGATATGATCCCTCTATTCCCACATTGCTGAGTGTTTTTATGGGTGCTGGATTTTGTCAAATGCTTTTTCAGTGTTTATTGATATGATCATATGGTTTTTATCTGTCATTTTGTTTACGTGGTGTCACTGGGGCAGTCCTATCGAGTGCGTGAGCATCCCTCCTGGCCGTGTGGCTTTTAACCTAGCTCTGTGGCTCTCCCAGGCCTCGGGGAGCCTTCCCAACTGACTAGGCATCTGGTCTGCTCAGGCCCAGGGCAGAATGTTTGGCTGGGTCTAGCTCCCAGGGGACAGCTCTGCAGCCCACAATGACACCAACCTCGGTGCAGGGGCTGTGCAGTGGGCTTAGGGCAGCCCTACTGATGGGCTCTGCTCTCTAGCCCCAGACCCTGGCAGACTCTTAAAGTTCAAATGGGCTTCAGGGCACTCATGTATCTTTTTCTCTTCCTCCCCCCCCCCCATTACCTAAGACCACCAGAATAGCATTTGGTTCTAATATAATTTTTATGTATTCTTCGTCATTTTCCACAAGCACGCAAATGTTTGACACATTTGCAGAGTTATGACATATTCTGCTTTTTACCTCTCATTATATAATAAAAAATGTCCACACTACCTCATAATTCTCCTTATTATCTTGAATAGCTATTAATACTTTGAGCAAAAGGACCATGGTTTCATTAGCAATCCTCTGTTACCAGACATCCTTGCTGCTTCCAGTTTCCATCTTACAAACGTTGACACGAGCATCTTCGGGCCAGAGCTCCTTCTGCTCTGCGTGGGCCGCGGAGGGCAAGGAGCGAACCTAACGAGGCCAGCGCCTGCTCGCAGGGCTGCAGACGGCTTCCTTCCGGAGGCCTCGCACGCTGTGAGCCCAGCAGGGCCGCCACCTCCCAGCACTGTCCGGAGCCGAATGAAGGTGGTGAGATGATGTTGTTTTTCCTCATTGTCTGGCTATCTTCATAAGAATGTAATTCCTTGCCCTGGCGGGTTGGAGTGTCGGCCCGTAGACCAGAGAGACCCAGGCTCGGTTCCGCTAAGGGCATGTACCTCGGTTGCAGTTTGTCCCCGGCCCTGGTTGGGTCGTGCGGGTGGCAGCCACTCGATGTGTCCCTTTCACGTCTATGTTTCTCTCTCTCCTTCCCACTCTATCTGAACAAAACAGGGGAAAATGTCCTCGGGTGAGGATTACAAAAAACAAAAGAAGAATGTAATTCCTTCATCAATTGAAAAACTTCCTCAAGGATAAGAGTGAATGTGGGAAACCTCAGGAATTTGAGATTTTGGCTATAACCTCCCTTGGAAGCGTTTCTGATAATGGCTCAGTGGTTCTCAACCTTCCTGATGCCACGACCCTTTAATACAGTTCATGTTGTAGTGACCCCCAACCATAAAATTATTGTTGTTGCTATTTTATAACTGCAGTTTTGCTACTGTTATGTCTTAGGCGACCCCTGTGAAAGGGTCGCGACCCCCAGGTGGAGAGCCGCCGGCAGGCTCTGTGCACAGACGCTTCCTGGGTTCAGGCTAATGGGCTCCCCCAGAGCTCGACTTGAACGCTTGTTAAAACGCCAGAGGGAGACTATGCGCTCACACTCTGACCTGAGTGGTCCAAGTTCTCTGCTTAAAGTCCGTAACTCGGTAATTCAGGGGCTGCCTAGAAACTGTAAAGGAAAATATGGACAGTTTTCACTATAATTAGAGCCTTGGCTGCCCAGCTGCAGTCCTGACTAAAACCTAGTGAGACTCAGCCGGGGCCACCCGCTCATCTGCTCTTGAACTTCTGTCCCACAGAACCTGAGAAGGAATAAAAGTGTTTAGCCACTAAGCTTTGGGGTAATTTGTTACGCAGCAGTAGATAACGCTTACAAGTGTCAGCACTTTAATTTCCAAACATTTGGGGATTGCCTAGATACCTTGCTGATTCAAACTTTTTCTGCCCCGTTATCCCTTCTCCTCTCCTGCTGGACCCCAGCTGCGGCCGAGGAGACCTCGGGCATGGGCGCACGGTCCCTGAGGCTCTTCCCCTCTTCCACCTTTTCTCTCCCCGGCCAGGACAGTCCCTAGGAGCCCTCTCCAATGTTCTCAACTCACTGATCCTGCCCGTTGCTGCCACCCCGCTGCCTTCCCACCCTTTGCCCTGGAGGGCTTTCCTCCGCTGCCTTTCAGGCTTTGTGATTCATGTTGCCCCATTCTTTCTCGGCAGCCGACGGTCCCTCCTTGTGCTCCGCGTGCCTACAACCCTCTTTTCCACCTGCATGACCCTGATGCGAATGTAACCAAGTCTGTTCTCCCGTTCCGTACTGCAAAAGCAGATTTTTTCATTTAAAAGCAGTGAAGTCCCATTGTGACCACACAGAACGGTTCCTAAGTAAGTTGTTATCTCTGGCGTAACCGAAGATGTAACTTAGATGACACATTACAGGACCGAACAATTCTTCTAAGTAAGCAGAACCAAGTGGAAGAACATGTCTTGCTGGTCTCAAACCGAATTTAGCCTCAGGAAATACATTCAATCCCTTCCAGCACAGCATTTTTTTTTTTTTTATCCTCACCCGAGGACATTTTTCCATTTTTTTGTTCAGATAGAGCGGGAGGGAGAGAGAGGAAGAGAGAGAGAGAAAAACATCGATGTGAAAGGGACACATCGAGTGGCTGCCACCCGCACGACCAACCAGTGCCGGGGACAAACTGCAACCGAGGTACGTGCCCTTAGCGGGAACCGAACCTGGGTCTCTCTGGACCGCAGGCCGACGCTCCAACCGCTGAGGCAAACCGGCCAGGGCCCAGCACAGCATTTAACATGCACACTGCTAACCTGGTTTCACATTGTAAGAAAAGAAGACAATATGCCACTGCTTTTGAGGATCCGATCTAGATACATCTGCCATTTCCAACCACGATGCGAGTCACCTGCGGCTTGTTTTATACTTCTGACACGCACTAATGCAGACACATTAAGTACGGAATTTACTATTTAGCAGACAAGCCAGGTCTGGACTGCATGTCATCTTCATCAGCCTGTCTGTTCCATTTGGCTGCTATCAGAACATCTGTGTACTCAGAGAGTGTTTTTTTGTTTTCCTATCCTCACCCAAGAATATTTTTCCATTGATTTTTAGATAGAATGGAAGGGAGGGAGGGAGGGACGGAGGGGGAGAAAGAGAGAGAAACATCGATGTGAGAGAGACACATCGATTGGCTGCCTCCCGCATGACCCCAATCAGTGCTGGGACTGAACTGCAACTGAGGTACATGCCCTTGACTAGAATCGAACCCATGACTCTGTTCCATGGGCAACTCTCCAACTGCTGAGTCAAACCGGCCAGGGCAGAGTCATTTAAATTTTAAAAAATGTCTACAACTTTCCAAAAATAAACCTGCTGGCTTGGCTGAAAGGTCAGCAGAGACACGATCTCAAGGACTGAATTACCTAAACCACCGTGTAACCTGGGGAACTGCTAAGAGAATAAACTGGGCTGCATCCAGAGATCGAGAGCATTTGCTCCCTTGAGATGCTCCCCCTCACTTCAAACTGTGTCTGCTTGTAATTCATTGTATTGTAACGATCCCCGGCAGGCCAAGAGTTGGCACTGGAAATTTTCTAACACTGGTTCTTAATCACTGAAGGAGCTAGGGACCCCTTGAGAATCTGATAAAAGCTACAGACTCTTGCCCAGCCAGTGTGGCTCAGTGGTTGAGCATCAACACATGTATCAAGAGGTCACTGGCTCAATTCCCGGTCAGGGCACATGCCCAGGTGGTAGGCCTGATCCCCAGTGGGGGGCACGTAGGAGGCAGCCAATCGATGTTCTCTCTCATCGATGTTTCTCTCTTTCTCTCTCTCTCTTCCTCTCTCTAGAAAAATAAATAAAGGGGGAAAAAGTCTTTAAATAAAATAAAAGCTACAGACTCTTGTCGGAAACTGCCAATAGGTACCTGGCATACAATTCCGGGGCATGACCCCCTGTCTAGAAGCCCTCCTCGGGGCGGGCTAGGGAGTCCTTGCTCCGAGCGGCGGCACTGGCAGAGCCGCCCCGTGCCTCAGCGGTTCCTTACCATGGCTCTTGCTTCCTCCCGGACGGATGGGATAGAGAGGATGCTGTAGAGTGCTCCATTCACGTATGGCTGTATCTTTAAGGGGAGACAAAAGAGTTACTTGCAAGTTCTCAACTACTGTACAACCCAATTATCACACAGCACACTTGAGACACTCTGGCTAACGAGGACAGGGGGTGTCTCAAATGACAGACACCTTCATTTGCATGCCCAGCGACAGCTGCAATGAAGAACTCAGAACCAAATTCTCCTTCAACTTCGCAAAGCGTGCTCCTGCCATTTCACTGTGTAATTCATGTCACCCGGTCACTCCGGCTAAAACTCCGGAGTCATCACTGAGTCCTCTCTCTTTTTACTCTTTGTGTGGTCCCCAAGCTGTCTCTGACAGGAACCCCTTCCCCACCCGCACACTACTGTCCTTGTTCAGACAGCATGTCCACGACCTCGCTGCCTCCATCTCCAAATGAGTCTCTATCTTTGACGCACACCCTTGAGTCCGACCACCACGTCACTGCCCAGATGCCCGCTCCCTAGGACACCTGCGGCCGTCTGCCTGGGAAGCCTCACCTCCGTAGTGCGGCACACTCAGGACCCTTCAGGGTTTGGCCTCTGTCACCCCCCTGCCACCATGAGTGCACCCGGCAGAGTCCGCACTACGGAGGGGACGCCCACACCATGTAGAACCTGGGCCCTGGTTCTAACAGTTCACTTTGCTGGCGTGCACGTCCCACGTGTCCATCTGAAAAGCTACGACTCATCCTGTGAAACCGGCTCAGACACATGTCAGAGGGAGCCCTTGCTGACCCCGAGGGAGTCCTCTGCTCCGCCCCTCACACACCCCCACTGCTGGACTGGACTTGGTCCAGTTTAGGATTTACACTATGTCTCCCGTTTTACGCACACAGGTCAGCCCGACACTGGGCTGCAAGGCAAGGTGCACGCAGGCACCCGCCACGAGAGCTCGCCCCAGCGGACAGTGCTCCTCTCAGCAGGGGAGGGGGTGGGTCACTGCCCTTCCACTTGCCAGCACTGGTCTTTCAGCTTTACTTTTCTGCTGAGAGTCCATGTACTAAAGCTGGGAACAGTGAAGCAGGAGGCCTCGGACAGAAGCAGCAGGAGAGAGCCTGGGCGGGCTGCTCTGGCTCCTAGGAACGTCCCGGGGAGAAGTGAGCCTGGGCGGGCTGCTCTGGCTCCTAGGAACGTCCCGGGGAGAAGCGAGCCGAGGCGGGGCTGCTGTCAGCTCCCTGGAGAGTCAGGGAAAGAGGGCCTTGGAGACAGGTGCAGGGAAGGTGAGCCCAGGACAGTCTGCCGCTGCCCACGGATCCCCTTGTTGCAAGTCTCGTGGGGACCCTTAGAGTTTAGGAGAAAAAAAATTCACTGGAAAAGGAGGGTTGAACGGGTGTACCCCAAGGATGGCATGTGTCACTTTTGATTTTTATCAATCTAATGGGTAAAAAAGGCATCTTATAGTTCTTTTTATTTTCATTCCCCTGATTACTAGCAAAATTAAACATCATTTCATGTTTACAGATCACCAAGATTTACTACTCTGCAAACTGCCCATATATAAATGGATATAACCTTTACCCTCTTTTTCTGTTGGCTTTTCTTTTCTTTTAAATATGTTTTTATTGATTTTTTCAGGGAGAGAGAGATTGAAACATCGATGTGAGAGAAACATCGATCAGCTGCCTCCTGCACACCCCGCACTGGGGATCGAGCCTGCAGCCTGGGCACGTGCCCTGACCGGGAAATGAACTGGGACCTCTCCGTCCATTGGAGGACGCTCAATCCACAGAGCCACGCCAGATGGGCTGCTGCCTTTCCTTTTTGTATGACTCTTGCTTACACATTTACAGGAGTTCTTCAGATAACAGGGATATAAAATTTTTGCCATGTGATGCAAACTTTTTCTCAGGGTATCATTTCTTGTTCATTTTTGGTTATGGCATCTTTTTCCATACAAAAGAATATACATGTGGTCAATTATGTGCATCTTTTCTTCATGGCTTCTGGACATAGTCTTTCAAGAACATGACTATCTGGCCAGCCGGTGTGGCTCAGTGTCTGAGTGTCAACCATGAACCAAGAGGTCACAGGTTTGATTTTCAATCAGGGCACATGCCCAGGTTGTGGGCCAAATCTCCAGTGGGGGGTGTGCAGGAGGCAGCCAGTCAATGTTCTCTCTCATCAATGTTTCTATCTCTCTCCCTCTCCCTTCTTCTCTCTCTAAAAAAAATTAGAAAAAAAAAAAAAAAGAACATGACTATCTTGTAGAGGATATATGTGTGTAGCATTAATTTGGGTAACAACACATTTCTGGGCTCTAAAATGTATATAGGTAGATTTTCCAGCTCATTTTCAAAGCAAAAGCATTGCCAACAGTTTTTTGTTGTTGTTGTTAACGATTTTGCTTTTGTTTTGTTAATCCTCACCCAAGGATATTTTTCCATTGATTTTTTAAGACAGGGTGGAAGGGAGGGAGGGTGAAACATCGATGTGAGGGAGACACATCAATTGGTTGCCTCCCACATGATCCCCAACTGGGGCCAGGGATCGAACCTGCAACCCAGGTACATGCCCTTGACTGGGAATTGAGCCTGTGACTTCTCAGTCCTTGGGCTGATGCTCCAACCACTGAGCCAAACCGGCCAGGGCATCAACAGTTCTTGATATGACTCGAACTCTGGTCTATTCAGTTTTCAGAACCGCCATTCTGGTTGCCACACTTCAAACCAACCTGTACTATTAGAGACAGAATATATTTCTCATTAGCTTCAACTACCTGAGTTGAAGAAATGGAGAGCAGAGTTGACTCAGGTCTAGAAGCGGTTAAGAGCTCACTGGCTCTGAAATATGAAGGGCGTGGCACACACTGTACCCAGCACCCGGTCTCTCCGTGGAGGGGCTCTGGGCCGGTACGGCTGAAAGGAACAGAACCGGGAACAGACGCGTGGAAACCACGTGCTTCACTCTGACCCAGCGCGCTCAGTCCTGCCCTGCTAAGCCACCCTGCACCTGATCTGGCTGCACCTTTGGCTTCAGGTGAAATCATGTTGATGCCATAATTTCTGCAAAGGCATTTGTAGAAAGCAGGTGAGCGATATATCACGCTATTAATTAGTTTTGTTAATAGGTTTATCCAGACCTCTACTTCAGTCAAAAAGAACTTGCGACCCATAAGCTAAAAAAACTAAAAAATCACACCAGTGTTGGGGAAGACACCCATGACAGCAGAAGCCATTCTTGGGGACAATTTCCAAGACTCTGGCCTGAGCCAGCAGTGACAAGCGTCTGTGCACCCAGGGAGCCCTGGTACAGGCCCTCTTGGGAAGTGCGGGGGTGTCCAGTAGGACCAGTGTGGCAGCAGAGAGTTGAAGGCAAGCAAAGTGGACGCCCCGGGGAGCAGGGGGGGAAAAGGGGAGGCTGCGAACGAGGGGCCGGCCGTTCCGCCGCAGCGAGAGCTGCTCATCACAGAGAGTGTAAACGCAACACAGAAAGGTCCTAAAATGCAGGAAAAACATAAGTAATGCGATCTAGACTGCGACACTATCTACACAAATTACATTACACAATATTAATACGTTTCAGACCTCCTGCACGTCCACGGACCTATGTTACCACAACAGAAAGCGTCAACGTCGGGGAGGAACGACCTGCGGGATGACAATGGTGCTCAGGGGGCGCCGGCACAGGCCAGCTCCCCGGTGCCAATCGCAGGGCGTGGGAGGGACTTCTGCTTCTGAAGCTACAGTTCCGAAGTCATGAGCGCTCTGAAGCAGCTGATATGAGCACTGGCAGGACAGAGCGCGGACCCCCCAAGCCCGGGCTCGCAGCGCTGCCTGAGTACCTCGTGGTTTTCGTGGCCGAGCAGATCCGAGAGAACTTTCAGCACCAGGCCTGCCATCGTGGCACACACGCGCTTCCCTTAGGAAAACAAAACAGATACGACATGTCGCAACTCAGAAGCAGTTTCGAGTCAGGCAGACTTGAACAGAAACCTCGGCTCCTCTGCTTCGGGCCGTGTGACCTTGGGTGAGTCACTTAACCAATCTGGGCCTGTTTCTTCCTCTGGGATTCCTTAGGGACTGCTAGCATCGACCTCCAAGGGCGAGGTGCAGTGAGGCAGGTCGGAAGGCGAGCACACGCCAGTGCTCACGAGGGGCTGCCTTCTCCAGGCAGAGCGCACGCTGCCACCGCGGTGAGGGCACAAGGTCGCAGAGCGGCTTCCGGCCACGAAGTGCGCAGGCCGCGCCCCGAATCCACACAGTGCTTTAGGGATCCCTCACGTCACCACGGCACTCACTGCAATGCACGGGGGAGGAGCCGAAAAGCTGACTATAACCTAACCCGCATCTTAAAGCCAGGACTCTTCGCAAGGGCTAGATTTAAAAATAAGATAGAAATGGTCACGTGCTCAGTCAACAACCGGTGCTTCAGATGACAAAGCACCGAGGGTGAAGAAGCGTCTAACGAAGGACCCTGAGCGGCTGTCTGCATAGCCCGCCAGCGCAGGGCCACTCAGACTGAGTCAGCCGCAGGCTGGACCTGGCACCTCTTCTAAAGAAGTTTCTTCCATCCCAGGGAACAGATCACTTAATGGGACAGAGCCTGCAGAAAAGCTAGAACCGCTGCCTTTGTCGATCAAGTAAATGACTGGTGACATCCACACGTGAATCCCCACCCCCAGGAGGCGAGTGGGGGGTAGGGCAGGCGGCACAGTGTGACCTCTGCCACCAACTCAATCCTGTACAATCTTGGGAACATACTTCTCTGCCATCCGACAACAGGGACCCTAATTCTCAACTCCCAACCTTTGAATAATGCACTGAAGATGAGGAAACACATGAACTACCTTAATTTCCTCTCAATGCAGGTTAACGCATGTACATGGTTATATATATGTGAATTGCTATACAGCTTTGAAACAGTTTTCCAGGCCAGAATGGTATTTGGCTTCAGGGAGTCACAGCTTTGTACCCGGCTGGAACTGTTCACACTGTTCCTGCCTTCAGTTTTCTGAGGGAGACCAGGGGAAGCCACGACAGGCCCATGGGTCATCAGTTCGAGGGTCAGGACCTCCCCCCTCCCCCCGCCGGAGCAGGGGCTTGGGGACGGGGGGCTGCGACACCTGCGCTCCGGAGGCAGAGGTTCATGAGCAGCGCCACCGAGTACTCCAGCGTGTAGTCGGACAGGCAGTCGGGCTCCTTCAGAAGGTGGATCAGCCAGAAGATAAGGCCGTCCCGAATCATGGCCGTCTGCAGCGGGCGCCTGCGAGAACAGCCTGCGTCAGTGAGGCTGGCGAGACCCTTCCGACAGCGTCCACAGCCACGGGAAGCGTGTCAGAGGCGACCGAGGGCCCGGGACGCTGACGCCGAGGATCATTTCACTGGCAGACCCACACAACTGCAACAACGAGCAACTCGTTACCTTTCACAGGGGTTGAGGGTTTAAAGACAGACAAGGCGAGGAGGCCTCCTGCTTTGAAAGTTTCCTTTCCTCTATTTAAAAGACTTGTTGGTAGCTTTTGGTACACGTAACCCGGAAAGCAGGCCAGAGAAACAGTTCACTGACAAACAGGTTTCCCTAAACTCTAGTCTGTTATAATTGAGCGTTGGCACTTTGAGCTGCGTAAAAATAAAGACGTAAAAGCTGAGCCCAAACACAGCTCGGGACCATGTTGACTCAGATCTCTGCAGGGTATGGATCATGTAACGGCCTGGGTAATACAATTTACACGAACATTTCCACCCCGAGTCCAGTGCCTCCCTGGAGTGTGCTCCGTGGCTGGCCTCAGGGGCTGATAGGACCGAGCCTGCTATCCCCAGGAGGAGGCATCTGCACTCAGAAGCAAAGCACCACGGAGGAAGCTCCTCTGCGCCTCTCCTGACTCAGCTACGGTGAGACTGCCCGTGGACGGGACCTGCCCACGCCCTTCCTCACACCCGCTCAGTGACCAGGGCACAGCGCAGGTGGCGCTCCCCCGGGGAGCCAACTCCCTTCTCCATGCATCCAGAGACCCTGGGGACTGCAGACACATCAAGCTCGGCTCCAGAACAGAAAGCTGAAATGACTGTTTGGAGGAAAAGAAAACACTGGCAGCAAATATCTGCACCACCAGGCAGAAGGGTTTCTGCACCTTATCTGGCTCTGTTACCTAACTACGGCTATTGAATTTCTGAACTTCTTCCAGTCAGCCTCAAGCTGTTATCTTTATAAACAGAAATGAAGTGTTTATATAATCTGAGGAAGTAATAACTCTGGGGATTATTCACAGCTCTTTTCAATTCACAGAGCCAGAAGAAGACTTCTTCATTGGCAGGAACCTGGCAAGTAGCAGGAACTAAATACCTGCCACTTTTTCGCACCAAGCATACGCACATTTGAAATGTATCACTTGGCAGGCTGGTGGGTCACCCACAGTTGATGGGAAGTGTGTTCAGAAGGACCAACAGTCAGGAAAGCCTGCGGACTCAAGGTACGAGAATTTGTAACGAAGTCAAAGAGAAAGGAGCCAGCAATGCCACTCCCAGACCCCTACCAGGAGAAAGGCAGGCAGGGCCACACAAAGACCTGCAGGCCAACGTCATGGTGGCATCCTGCCTAACAGCCCAGAGGTGGACACCCCGACTCCACCAAGCGAGGAATGTGCTCTCCCCACACAATGGAATGCTACTCAGCAATGCAAAGGAACGAGGTACTGACACACCCCACAACACGGCCGAACCCCAGAAACACATGCTAAGTGAAAGGAGCCAGTCACAAAGCACAGACATTATCTGATTCCATTTATGTCAAATACCCAGCACAGGCGAGCCTACAGAAGGTGGAGTCGTGGTCACCTGGGCTGGGGATCAGCCTGAGGAGTGAGGTAAACAGGCATGAAGTTTCCTTTTGTGGTGATGGGAATGCTCTAAAGTTAGACTGCGGTGATGGTCGCACAACTCTGTAATATACTAAAAATCACTGAGCCGCACACTTAAAATGGGTGGATTTGGTGGTGTAGAAAGCACACCTCAATGCTGCTTAAAAAGAGACAGTTCGGTGAGGATATCAGAGCTGGCTCAAGAAGGGGTGTCTGACTGTAAATCTCTGATGGGGAGCAGTTCCAAGTCACAACAGGGTCAGGCCGAGACCTGTGTTGCTGGGACATATGGACAGGTGCCAGCCCCGACTTCCACAGAGCTGCCGCTCAAACCTGCTGTGACTGCTCCTTGTGACACGTGGTCTGGGGGCCACAGGAAGCCTGAGGCTGTCACGTTTCATCCGTGGGTCTATCTCTCAACTCTGCACGAGGCTGAGACACGATGATGCTCATTAGGAGACTACACAGTCCTTTAAAAATGTCTTCCTCCATCCAAAGCAGCCTGATCAGGAGGGTTTATTGGATTGGAGACGAGCTTTCTAGCTCTGTCTTAGAAAGTCACCTGACCTGCCCTAGGCGTTGGCTGAACAATATCATCTGCCTCTTGGGTTGTCATTGGGATCAAATAAACACAAAACAGTGGCTTCTGAAAACCCCGATTTGATTTCGCAGGAGCCACCAACCACCATGAACTACTGCGAGGTCAGCACCTGAGGCTGAACTTCTGCAAGGCCCCGAGCACATTCTCCCGGGCGATGATGTCCTTGTCTTCCTCCTTCAGCCTTTCCTCCAGCATCCGCAGCACCTCCGTGCTCTGGGCGAGGTAGAGGCGACCTAGTAACACAACCAGAGACGAACAAGGGAAGCGGGAAAGAACTGAGCTCCACAACCACTTTCTATGAAACCTTTGCATGTAACACGTGCAGAGTGTATAATTTTAGGTTCTAAAACACTCAGAACATATTTCTTTTGCAAAGTTGGTTTTAGTCAACCAACTATCTAATAATAGGAAACCACACTTCCTGTCATCTAAATTGAATCCATCACTACGTGCTTGTGGGGAGCACTGTTCTTCATTCACCTGAAACCCTGAACCTGAAAGTCAGATTTAGGATGAGAACGAGGTGGGGAACAAGCAGGTCATGAACCTATTAGTCTTTACAACAGAGGCACCAATGCTTTCTGGCCACGCCCCTTGCTCCTTCCGGACATGTCCTTGGCCCAGAGAAGCTGGGAACCAGCTCTGGAACCCTAGAGTATGGCCTGAATTGTCACTGGCCTGTTGTGGACTTGTGGCCTGAAACAGATGCTAATTTTGGACGCAAACTTCAACAGTATTATAGGATTGGAACCTGGCACATACCCTGGCTGATGATAACTGTTTCTTAAATAGATGGGAGAATGTAATGAATGAATGGCCACATTTTTGGTGTATCATATAGTCATCATTTGAAACGTCCTTTATTCACTTTATAAAGAGCTCAAACAAATTGGAACTATGGAAGATAACGACTCTTTGTAAAATCACTTGAGTGCAGGTATGGTGGCAGGTTATCTTTGGAACTTTTAACTCCTCTTGATTTAAGAGGGTGTAGTCTCAGGCAGGAAATGGTGCCATGCTTATTGGGATCAGCAGTAATTGTGTCACCAACCTTAATTTACCTAAAGTAGAAAATTATAGAAAATGGATTATTTGTGCCCTGGCCTGTTTGGCCCAGCAGTTAGAGTGTCAGCCTGTGGTCTAGAGAGACCCGGGTTTGGTTCCTGCTAGGGACGTGTACCTCAGTTGCGGTTTGTCCCTGGCCCTGGTTGGTCATGCGGGTGGCAGCCACTCGATGTGTCCCTTTCACGTCGATGTTTCTCTCTCTCTCTCTCTCTCTTCCTCTCTCTCCCTCCCATTCTACCTGAACAAAAAATGAAAAAATGTCCTCGGGTGAGGATTAAATAAATAAATAAATAAAAAGAAAATGAATTATTTGTCACATATCTGAAAGCAATCCAAAAAGTACTATTATAAAACCAGAAAGCTTACAAAAATAAAACTAGAAGGCTTACAAAAGAAATTCCAAAACTGTCAAAATTTGCTCTGATATAAACTATAGCAATCTGACAACATCCAATTTTCACAAAACACCTTAGACACATTAAACAGGAATAAGTTGAGGAAACATATATCATCTCTAAAAAGCCTGGAGAAGAGCATCTGTGGTTTTTTTTAAAATATTTTTTCTTTACTGACTTTAGAGAGAAAGGAAAGGAAAGAGAGAGAGAAACGGATGAGAGAGAACGTCCACTGGCCGCCTCCCGCACGCCCTCCACTGGGGATCAGGCCCACAACCTGGGCATGTGCCCTGACCGGGAATCAAACCGGCGCCCACATGCGTTGACACCCAACCACTGACCCACACCAGCCGGGTGAAGAGTATCCGCTTTTGTTTATTTATTTTTATTATTTTGGCACGTGCCCCTAGCGGAAACCAAACCCGGGTCTCTCTAGTCCGCAGGCCGATGCTTCAACCGCTGAGCCAAACTGGCCAGGGCCAGAGGGTCCGCTTTTAAAGGAGAAAACAAAAACAACAAAGCAAAACAAAAAAACACAGATCACTGAGACCTAGCTCTTCCCTTTGAAGAAAAAGCTGGCACCTCACCTTCTGCCAGGGATGCGATGGCATTGATGAGCCTGGCCATGTACTGACGCACTACGTCGCTCCTCCCGTGCAGCAGCTGCAGCACGGTCCTCTGCGGGGACAGCAAAGGGGCAAGAACCGGGCGTCAGAGGAAGCAGACAAACAGCTCCACCACCGGCCCGGCCCCCTACCCCCGCCCCTGGCCCCTCTGCTGGCCCCGGCCCCGCCGCCGCCGCCCCTGGCCCTGGCCCCGTTGCCACCCCTGGCCCTGGCCCCTCTGCTGGCCCTGACCCCGCCGCCGCCCCTGGCCCTGGCCCTGGCCCCTCTGCTGGCCCCGTCCCCGCCACCGCCCCTGGCCCTGGCCTCGCTGCCACCCCTGGCCCTGGCCCCTCTGCTGGCCCCGTCCCCGCCACCGCCCCTGGCCCTGGCCCCGCTGCCACCCCTGGCCCTGGCCCCTCTGCTGGCCCCGTCCCCGCCACCGCCCCTGGCCCTGGCCCCGCTGCCACCCCTGGCCCTGGCCCCTCTGCTATCCCTGGCCCCGCCGCCCCTGGCCCTGGCCCCTCTGCTATCCCTGGCCCCGCCGCCCCTGGCCCTGGCCCCTCTGCTGGCCCTGGCCCCGCCACCGGCCCGCCGTTCTTTTCCTCGGCGTGAATTCATTACAGGTGAAGTAAACAGGCTAAAGCCAAACAGTTTGTCTGGAAATCTTAATTGCCAATGGATTTTTTCCTGAGATTTGGCAAATATCAGTTATTCAAAATTTTAAATTAAAAGAATTATATGATGAGTACTAGACTTATCGGGGTGATCACTTCCCAAGTTATATAAATGTCTAATACACTATCACAAGTCAACTGTAACTGAAAAATAGAAAAGATACTAAAAAATTTTTTCTTTATTGATTTTAGAGAGAGAGGAAGAAAGAGGGGGAGAGAGAGAGAAACATCAATGAGAGAGAACATCGATGGCCGCCTCCTGCATGCCTCCCTCTCCGCCCCCTCCAGGATTTGGCCCACAACCTGGGCATATGCCCTGACCGGGAATCAAACTAGTGACCTCTTGGTGCATGGGTCAATACTCAACCACTGTGCCACACCGGCTAAACTAAAAAAAATTAATTTAGAAAAGAATTGATTAGCCCTGCCAGTGTGGCTCAGTGGACTGAGCGCCGTCCCATGCACCAGGAGGTCGCCTATTTGATTCCCGGTGGGGGTGTACACCTGGGTCGCAGGCTAGTAGGGTGTGAGGGAGGCAACCTACTTATGATTAATGTTTCTCCTCATCGGTGTTTCTATCTCTCCCTCTCCCTTCCTCTCTCTCTAAAAAAATAAGTCAATAAAAACATATTTTAAAAAAGAATTATGCAAAGCATCGGAACAGTGGCGGACACAAAGGCAGCCACACTGTTTGCTCTTACAGTTGGTGTTTTTCCGGGTTAGAACCACAGATCCAACACACACTTCTAATTTTGCTCCCTGAAACCATGATAAAACTACAGTAAATGGATTTTTACGAATGACACAAATTCTCAAGATCAGAGAGAACAGCAAACGAAATGCTAACTACACAGCTTGGGAAGTGGGACTACGGATGGAGACTGACCGGCAGACTCAACGCCGGTGGGCAGTGAGGCGGTGACCCACTCAACCCTCAGGAGGCGAAGTGGAGAAATGAGAGCGAACAGACGGAAGCTGTGGAAGCTGCAGCTCACGCTGACCCTACCCTCGTCCTCCCACGGGGGCCAGGCTACTCTCTCATTAAGGGAACATCAGGGTCTCCGACGGGGGACACCAGGCCCAGGCGAGCGGGGGGTCTCCGACGGGGGACACCAGGCCCAGGCGAGCGGGGGGTCTCCGACGGGGGACACCAGGCCCAGGCGAGTGGGGGGGTCTCTGACGGGGAACTCCAGGCCCAGGTGAGCGGGGGGGTCTCCAACAGGGGACACCAGGCCCAGGCGAGCAGGGGGTCTCTGATGGGGAACTCCAGGCCCAGGTGAGCGGGGGTCTCCGACGGGGGACACCAGGCCCAGGCGAGCAGGGGGTCTCTGACGGGGAACTCCAGGCCCAGGCGAGCGGGAGGGTCTCCGACGGGGGACACCAGGCCCAGGTGAGCGGGGGGTCTCCGACGGGGGGCACCAGGCCCAGGCGAGCGGGGGGTCTCCGACGGGGGACACCAGGCCCAGGCGAGCGGGGGGTCTCCGGCGGGGGGCACCAGGCCCAGGTGAGCGGGGGGGGTCTCCGACGGGGGACACCAGGCCCAGGCGAGCGGGGGGTCTCCGACGGGGGACACCAGGCCCAGGTGAGCGGGGGGTCTCTGACGGGGGACACCAGGCCCAGGTGAGCGGGGGGTCTCTGACGGGGGACACCAGGCCCAGGTGAGCGGGCGGTCTCTGACGGGGGACACCAGGCCCAGGTGAGCGGGGGGTCTCTGACGGGGGACACCAGGCCCAGGTGAACGGGGCTTCTACACCGAAATGGGACCTAGGGTAAAGAGCCCCTCTTTCCCTGGCTGCTTCCATACCCTTTAGGAGAGAGACCAGAAGACTCTCTGTGGAGGACAGTGACTGCCCAAGGGAAAGAATTAGAGACCCTGAAACCAGCGACTCCTAACAGATGGCTCCCTGGCTCCCCTCTGTTAAGGTCTCTGTCTGCAGGTCACATCCTCATACTCAGAATTCCCAACTGGCTTTACAGTTCCCACCCTAAACATTAGGAGATAACCAAGGTCTACCAGAAACCCAAGGGAAGTTTCTAACATGGAACATAGGACCAAAATAAACAGGGGCCGGGGGTGGGGGGCAGAAGGAAACTCAGAGGAAATGAGACTGTGCAGGATAAGAAAACCAAAAATAAACAAAAATGTGTCACTAATATACTTGGAGATATCAGAAGCTAATTGTATCCATGAAACAACAGAATACTATAAAAAAAGGAAATGAAACACTCAACAGAATGGTTGGAAAATAAAGATGAGAAAAATCTCCCAGAAAGTGGAATAAAAAGAAAAATATGGAAAATATGAGAGAAAAGATAAGAAAATTAGAGAATGGCTTCAAGAGGTTTGACATTCAAAGAGAGAACAGAGAAAACAGAGGGACTCAACACAGTAACTCAGAAAAGTTCCCAGAACTGAAGCTCTCAGATAGAAAAGGCTCGCAAAGTGCCCAAAACAGTGAATCAAAGTATACACCTCATAAAAGATAGCATATGTGGGTAATTTATTAACACTGGTGATGAAGGAGTCAATATGCTTCTAAGAGAGAAACAGGTCACATTCAGAGCATCAGGATGAGATCGACTCAGACTTTTCAACAGCAACACTGGAACCTAAAATAACAATGGAGCAGTATCTTCAAAATACTGAAGGAAGTCCGGCCGGTGTGGCTCAGTGGTTGAGCATCGACCCATGCACCAAGAGGCCACCGGTTCGATTCCTGGCCAGAGCACATGCCAAGGCTGTGGGCCCGATCCCTAGTGGGGAGCATGCAGGAGGCGGCAAATCGATGTTCTCTCTCATTGATGTTTCTATCTCTGTTGCCCTCTCACTTCCTCTCTTTCTAAAATCAATAAAGGGAGCCCTGACCTGTTTGGCTCAGCGGTTAGAGTGTTGGCCTGCGGTCCAGAGAGACCCAGGTTCATTTCCTGCTAAGGGCATGTACCTCAGTTGCAGTTTGTCCCCGGCCCTGGTTGGGTTGTGTGGGTGGCAACCACTCGATGTGTCCCTTTCACGTCAATGTTTCTCTTTCTCTCTCTTCCTCTCTCTCCCTCCCACTCTATCTGAACAAAAAATGAAAAAATGTCCTCGGGTGAGGATAAAAATAAATAAATAAATAAAATCAATAAAGGGGAAAAAAATTTAAAACATACACACACAAAATACTAAAGGAAGCCTGGCCTGTGTGGCTCAGTGGTTGAGTGTCAATCCATGCACCAAGAGGTTGCCGGTTTGATTCCTGGCCAGGGCACATGCCCAGGTTGTGGGCCTGATCCCCAGTGGGGGGCGTGCAGGAGGCAGCTGATCAATGTTTCTCTCTCTCCCTCTCCCTTCCTTTCTCTGAAGTCAATAAAACATATTTTTTACAAAAATACTGAAGGAAAATTCTTTACAATCCAGAATTCTTTACAAAGAATAAATTTTCAGACATACACAGTCTCACATACTCCCCACCCATCGTTCTCCAGAAGCTACTAACTAAAGGATACGCTCCACCAACCAAGAGAATGAGTCAAGAAATAAAACAGTACGGAACCCTGGAAACAGATCCAAGTCAGGAGCAGGATGAAGGAATCAGAAATCCGGTAAAGAGAGACTTCCGGCAGCAGCCGTGCACCGGATGGAGGGAGCCACCAGCCCAGACTGAACGAGCTGACTCAGGTAGTGACACATGGCAGGCTGTCACCCCCAAGATGCCCAATGCCACTGCACCATCTTTGTTCAGATAAAGTTTTTACTAAATATAACATCCATACAGGAAACTGCACAGATCATAAGTGTATAGCTCGATGAGCTTTCGCAATGTGACCATGTGGGTAACCAGTAACCAGACCCAATAAGAACTTACCAGAACCCCAGACGCCCTTTGGGGTCCCTGTCCAACCCAAGGGCAACATCCCTCCTGGCTTCCAAATCACAGGTCAGTTTTGTTTGTCTTTGAATTTTTTCATAAATGAAGTTATTGCATATGTATTATTTTATGTCTGACGTTTTTCATTCAACATTGTTTGTGAGATTCATCTATGTTGTATGTTGTGTGTTTCTTTTCATTGCTCCATGTATTCCATTTTATACATATATTGCAGGTAATTTTCTTAAAGTTTTTATTGATTTTTTAGAGAGAGGAAGGAAGAGAGGAAGAGATAGATACATTGATGAGAGAAAGAATTATCAACATAGATCGTCTGCCTAACATCGATGAGAGAGAGATGCAACATCAATTGGCCGCCTCCTGCACACCCCCTACTGAGGATTTGGCCCACAACCTGGGCATGTGCCCTGATGAGGAACTGAACCAGTGACCTCTTGGTGCATGGGACAAGACTCAACCACTGAGCCACACCAGCCGGGCTATTGCAGGTAACTGTTTATCCATTCTATTGCTGATGGACATTTGGGTCACACAGTCTTGGTTTTTATAAGCAGAGCTGCTGTGACATTTTTATACATCTTTAGTAAACCGACCAACACATTTCTGCTGGGGTTACACTTAGGAGTGGCTTTGCTAGGACACAGAGCATGCACTTTCAGCAAATACTTCAATACTTCCAGTGTTCCACAGTTCTTTCTTTGGTTAACCCTCACCTGCAGATACTTTTCCTTTTTTTTTTTTTTTTAGATAGAGTGGAAAGGAGGGAGGGAGGGAAGGAGCGAGCGAGAGAGAGAGACATTCTCACATCGATTCATTGTCTTCTGCACAATCCTGACTAGGGCCGGGATCGAACCTGCAACCCAGGTATGTGCCCTTGACGGAAATCGAACCAGTGACCCTTTGGTCCACAAGCCAGTGCTCTAAGTGCTGAGGCCAGGGCGCTAGAAGATATTTCTAAACAGAGTACAAAGTGCCTGGGTGTGGTGAGCCACTCTCCTGTGCTGGGATGGCCTGGACCACGTGCTGACGAAGGCCCAGCTCCCCGCTCTGCACCCTGACGTGTGGATCAGCTGTGGACAATCTCTCCACACCACGGAGAAGTTCTCATGGGACCAATGCGGAGACCTGGAAGTAGACCAGACCAGGCGAGCGTAAAATGAAAATTTCAGAGCAGCTCACCATCCCCACGGCCATCCACGCTGGTGCTGGATAACTGGTACCTGACTGACCTTCCAGCCTGCCAGATGCCCTACGCCTCCCAGGACCCTCTCCTGACCTTGACTACAGATGTCGCCAGAGGTGATCAATAAGTGCCCTGGGAAGCTATGTCCGATTAGGATCCAGCAATTTTGTTCATTTCACCTTCTCCTACGTGTCTTTATTAACGTGGGAAGAGTACCTTTTCTTTGCATAGCAAAGTGTGTGCTTGCTACTCTGCAAACACTCTATTATTTAGGGCATATACTTTTTTTAAAAACTAGAGTTTATTTTATTTTATTTATTTATTTATTTTCTATCCTCACTAGAGGACATTTTTGCATTTATCTTCAGATAGAGCGGGAGAAAGGAAGGAAGAGAGAGAGAGAGAAACATCGATGTGAGAGAGAGACATCAAGTGGTTGCCACTCACGCAACCCCAACCAGGGCTGGGGACAAACTGCAACGGAGGTACGTGCCCTTAGCGGGAACCGAACCCAGGTCTCTCTGGTCCGCGGGCTGACACTCTAACCACTGAGCCAAACTGGCCAGGGCTAAAATATGTTTTTATTGATTTTTTTAGAGAAAGAGGAAGGGAGAGAGAGATAGAAACATCCATGTACGAGAGCTAATTCGATCGGCTGCCTCCTGCATGCTCCCTACTGGGGATCAAGCCCGCAACACGGGCATGAGTCCTGACCGGGAATCGAAATGGGACCTCTCAGTCCATGGGACAACGCTCAATCCACTGAGCCACACTGACTGGGCTACGGCACATACTTACATGGGGAAACTATCAAGAAAAGCAAGGAACTGAGTAAGACCAAAGACAGGATATGTACACCTATGTTCAGTGCAATACTATTCATAACAGCCAAAAGGTAGAAGCAACCCAAGTGTCCATCGATGGATGAATGGGTGACCAACTGTGGTATAAACATGTAATGGAGTATTATTCACCTTTAAAGAAAAAACATTCTGGCACATACTACAACATAGATGAACTGTGAGGACATCATGTCAAGAGAAATGAGCACAGTCACCAAAAGACCAATACTGCATGATTGCACTCCAGTGAGGTGCCTGGGGTAGTCAAATCAGAGACAGAAGGTGAAGGCTGCCAGGGGCGGGGAGGGACAGCGTGGGGGTGGGGGTGGGGGGTTGTTGTTTAATGATACAGAGTTTCAGTTTTTCGAGATGAAAAAGTTCTAGAGATCTGTTGCACAATAATATGAATATACCTAACACTACAGAACCATACACTTAAAAATGGTCAAGATGGTATGTTTTATGTATTTTACCACAATTTAAAAAGTCAAGATGGTGGTTTCCTCTTTTTTTTCCTCACCCGAGGACATTTTTCCATTTTTGTTCAGATAGAGTGGGAGGGAGAGAGAGAGAGAAACATCGACGTGAAAGGGACACATCGAGTGGTTGCCACCCGCACGACCCAACCAGGGCCGGGGACAAACTGCAACCGAGGTACATGCCCTTAGCGGGAACTGAACCCGGGTCTCTCTGGACCACAGGCCGACGCTCTAACCGCTGAGCCAAACCGGCCAGGGCAGGAGAGCCCTAATTTGATGAGGTCTCCGGATGATAACACTGCAGCTCTAACCACTGAGCCGTGGAGCCAGCTAACGACCAGCTCGACCCCTGACCCAAGGGCAATGTCCTGCAGAGTCATGGCGACGCAGCAGCCACATCACACGAGGAGTCTCCTGTTCTGACATCTTAAGGCAACCCCAGCTCATTTCTTATTAAAAATAGTAAACCACAGCCATTAAAAATAGTGTCATGAGGAAGAAGTGGCAGTGTCAGTGGCTCTGGAGAGGACAGCATTTTGACAAATATGTGTCGCAAAACCTAAGACACCTTTCCTTAGAGGACACGTTAGTCTTTAATAGAAAACCAAGAGAAAAAGAAAACTGCCAATTAAAACATATTATAAGCATCAACTGCAAGAAACACCCGACCTCAGAGATGCTAAGACGGGCGGGGCACCTTAGAGTCCATGAAACGTGATAGTTCAGAAGGCAGGGCTGAGTTACTCTTTGAAGTTAAGTTTATAAGTCACACGGGCTCCATGCCCATGGGTTGGTTTCACTGTCACCACAAATACAGACAGAAGAAGAAAAGAAAAAGGAAGTCAGGAATTTGGGAGACTTTCAAACTGAACACAACCCTTTCCTGGGAGCAATAAGACTACGTTCAAAGAAACAAGTGGTCACTTCAAACGGTACTGCCCATACGCAAAACAGATTAACAGGTCATTAGCTCTCCCAGGAGCTGTTTTATCTGTGATCCAAAAAGGTGTTGACATTCTACTCCATGCTCCCGCAGTGAAGCTTAACAATAGGGAGATAGCCCTGGCTGGTTTGGCTCAGCGGTTAGAGCGTTGGCCTGCGGTCCAGAGAGACCCGAGTTCGGTTCCCGCTAAGGGCACGTACCTCAGTTGCAGTTTGTCCCCAGCCCTGGTTGGGTCGTGTGGGTGGCAGCCACTAGATGTGTCCCTTTCACGTCAATGTTTCTCTCTCTCTCTCTCCCTCCCTCATGCTGTATCTGAACAAAAGAAAAAAGGAAAAATGTCCTTGGGTGAGGATAAAAAGAACAATAGGGAGATAATGTATTTTGCGCATTTTGGATAACTATTCAACTGAAATCACAAATTGCAAGGTCTTCTTTACACACAGGGGTGGGCACAGTAGGCTGTTTGTATGGTACAGGACATGCAGGTTATGATTATTACAACTTAACCGCGCTGTGTGTACTCACAACTGTAAACCTACTTTTACCCACACCTGTATATGCTGTGTGGCAGGTTTCTATCCTCCTCCTGTCCAATGAAGCCTGGTGCTGACCACGGGTAAGAGGGTGGAGAGGTGGGGACTGTGTACTGACCACTCTGTGCTGGGCCTGTGTTAAGTGTGTCCCACGTGCCCACACACGTCACCCCAACAACCTCCCGAGGCGGGAGCTGGCTCCTCCTCAGAGATAGGGATGCTCCCCAAGACTGAGTGACTTGCTCCAAAGCCATAGAACAGGTGGCAGGGCAGAGGTCTGGAACCAGTTTCTCTCTCTCCAAATCCCATACTTTGCCTACTGGAACTGTCTGGTCCAGAGCTACACATAAATACGGTGTTAAAGATGCACTTCAAGGCAGGTCCAGACAAAATACACTGAATCTGCGCCCTGGCCGGTGGCTCGGTTGCTGGCGCACTGTCCCGCACACCAAAAGGCTGTGGCTTTGATTCCTGGTCAGGGCACAGACCTACGTTGCAGGTTTGATCTCTGGTAGGGAGACAACGAATGGATGTTTCTCTCTCAAATCGATGTTTTCTCTCTCTCTTCCTTCCTTCCTTTCTCCCTAGAAGTCAATAAAAACATATCCTCGGGAAAAACAGAAGAAAGGAAAACACCGGATGTGCTCACCTACCTTGCCTGTCGTAAGTCATGCTGAGTTTTCAGGGCTCGTGGTAACGAGAGTGAGGAAAGAGCTGGGAATTTGAGAAAAGGGGAAATAGCAGAACGAGCTCGAGTTGAATCAAGCAATTCTAACTTGTCTGGGACTCTGGATTAGATGTAAAGTGGCTGACGTTCAGGGTGGAGCGCAGATCTAAGACGCTAACAGAAGCCCAAGGCTGACACCAGTCCCCAGGCCGAAACTGCGCAGAGGAACGGACGCCTCCCCAGCGGCGGGGCCACAGCTGAGCCGCGCAGGCCCTGACCTGGCTCTGGCTGTGGCAGTCCAGGAGGTCGTTGCTGATGTAGGCTTGCAGAACGGTGTCCCTCTGCTCTCCAGGGTGGGATGTGGTCAAGCGCTGGCATGAAGAAAAGCAAAAGGAATGTCTGACCGGAGGAAAATGTTCACAGAGTGGGTGGGTATGTTTTACATTTTTCTCTTGATTTTAGAGAGAGAGGGAGAGGGAGAGAGAGAAACATCCATGAGAGAGAACATCGATTGGCCACCTCCTGCGTGGCCTCCACTGGGGATCAGGCCCACAACCTGGGCACGTGTCCTGACCGGGAATCGAACTGGCGACCTGTTGGTGCTGGGTCGATGCTCGACCACTGAGCCACACCAGCCAGGCCAGAGTGGGTATGTTTTAAACAGCAGTCCCAGTAACTACACATTCAACCAAACAAAATAAGGAACATCCTGGAGAGCTGGGTAAGCAGCCAACCAGTCCACAAACAAGACATCGTGATGTCCCTGAAACGGGCGGCGCGGGAGATGTAGGGTCGACTTATACGAGTGAATCTTCAGGGCAGTGAGGCGGGACAATGCCTGGACTGTGCGTGCAGACAAGGGGGAGCTCACCAGCACCTGGAGAGGTGGGGTTTTTTGCAGGAAGGGGCTCAAGAGTTGGCCCCTGAAGGATGAGCAGGCTGTCAGCCTGCACAGGATGTGGGTGTGGTGGGGGAGTGTGGGCCAGCCCAGGGAGGTGGGGAAGCACTGGGGAGGGCGCAGGGCAGGCTGTAGGGGGCTCTGAATGAACGCCATGCCAACAAGCTCAACTTTATTCCACTGGATTGACGCAGCAATAGTGTGTGTGTGTGTGTGTGTGTGTGTGTGTGTGTAGGGGTAGCTGGTATAATTAATCTGTTGTGTTAAGTTAGACTGTACTTACCACCTGCAGGGGTGGAAGGTACGTGGTGCCCAGGGAGCGTGTGAAGGGGTGCGTGCTTGTGCACGTGGGCACGGACCGGTTCGTCAGGGTGCAGGAAAGCCACAGAACTAACGTGAGCAAATGTGCTTGCTTTTGCAGAGAAATCTGACTACACAAAGATCCCTGAGACTGCAGGCCCTGCTCAGGCCGAGGACAAGCTGCCATATAAAGGACATGGGCGGGGGGAACCACAGAGCCCCCGGAACGGAAAGGCGGGGCCTGCAGAGGCAGGTGTCACTGACAGACTGAACCCACTGTGGCCAAGGAGGGAGGCTCTGAGGGAGGAGAGGACTTGATTAAAGAAGGTGGAGCCAGGAATGGCCCGTCTGTGGGCTGCCACTCTTCTTGAGTTCACTGAGGTCGGGCCTGGGGTGCTGGGTGGCGGGAAGGGGCACGGGGCTGGGGTGGGCTGTTGGAGGGGGACACAGACACAATTGTAAGACACCTGCTTATTTTTCCCGGGACACCCTGTCTCACCAAGAGGCTCAGGAGCATGGACTGATCGAAAGAGCCAAAGACAAGACGAATTTGCTCCTTCGAGCAGAGGCCAACATCCAGGGCAGGGAGGCCACCAGATCACTCATGCTGCCAGGCCCACTCTGGGCAGCTGACGCAGACTGCCCACGGGCAGAGGGCCCTGCTGCTCCCACGCCTCCTGGGGCGCCCCGCCCTCACCAGGGGGCACGGCAGCCCTCGGAAGTGCTTGTAGGAGACCTTTGCTACCCAGGTGGGAAACTGCTCAGAGGCATGTTGAAGTTTGGGGCTCCGTGCGGGAATCTGACACTCTTTCACGGTGAGTTAGAATGGACGGTCTAAGAGCCAACCAGTGTTGACTCAGACCTACAGTTCTCAGCGTGTCATCTGAGGAACGCCAGGGTCCCCAGAGCCCTTTCAGGGAGGCCTGTGGTCACCACTGTTTTCATGGTCCTGCTAAGCTGCCATTTGTCCTTCACACTCCGTCTCTCAGGGGCTATGTGAAGTGACACTGTGACAAACCCCACACAGACGCAAATATGAGAACCCAGCTGTCCTCCACAAAGCCAGACATAAAAGAAATTTGCAGAAATGTAAAACAATGCCACTTTTCTCACTAATTTATTTTTTGCTTTGGAAAATAGTTACGTTTAATGCAAAACATTAATGTTAGCCCGGCTGATGTGGCTCAGTGGACTGAGGGTCGTCCCACAGACTGAGAGGTCCCAGTTCGATTCCCGATCAGGGCACATGCCCGGGTTGCAGGCTCGATCCCCAGTGGGGTGTGCAGGAGGCAGCCGGTAGATGTTTCTCCTTCACATCGATGTTTCTCTCTCTCTCTCCCTCCTCCTTCCTCTCTATCCAAAATCAATAAAAACATATTTTAAAAAACATATATTCTGGGTTTATTACTGTTCATCTTAAATGAATTGATAAATATACATTTTAAATTTTCTGGGTTTTAATTTCTAACACTGTTAACATTGGTAGATAAAACTCACGTAAACTAAAGCTCTTGGGGCCTCAGTAATTTCTGAGAGTGAAGAGGCCTGAGACCAACAGGCGTGAGGACCCTGAGTTAACCACGATCAGTCTGAGGAAGGGGGAGAGAAGCAACACTCTAGACCCGATTTTCCCTTAAAGATGTGACAGTAGGTTTCACCCTGAGGTCTGCTCAGTGGCCACGTGGTGATACCTGAACACAGGGCTTTGCGGACATGCACCGTGAGAAGGGTGCTGAACTCTGACACACAGACCCCCGTCAGTGTGGCTCATGACCGGGAAAGGGCCAGATGACAGGGGAGTCTCCTGGGCCTAGAAACCGCTTACATGAAACCACCGCAGGAAGGCCATGGCCCCGGGGTCAATGTGGAAGTTTTTAAGGAGGGGACAAGGCTATCTTCGGAAGCTGTCTGCACTTCTGAAGGCATGCAGCAGGTGCAGGAAAAGATGCAGCAGGTGCAGGAAGGTTTTGAGTAGATGGGTTGAAAGATGCAGCAGGTGCAGGAAGGTTTTGAGTAGATGGGCTGAAAGATGCAGCAGGTGCAGGAAGGTTTTGAGTAGATGGGCTGAAAGATGCAGCAGGTGCAGGAAGGTTTTGAGTAGATGGGCTGAAAGATGCAGCAGGTGCAGGAAGGTTTTGAGTAGATGGGCTGAAAGATGCAGCAGGTGCAGGAAGGTTTTTAGTAGATGGGCTGAAAGATGCAGCAGGTGCAGCCCAGGAAACCAGCGGGCTCTTTCTTAGCCTCACGCGAAAGGTACGTACCCAGCGCAGAGCCTGCAGCAGGAAAGCTTTCAGGCGGTCGCTCCCCAAAACCAAATCCTTCTTCAGTTTCTCGTAATCCAAGGAGGGCAGCAATGGGACGTCCTTCAATTTCCTACTCAGCGACACACATTCAAAGAGAAGGGGCCAAGGGTGTGTTCGTCATACCGCCCGAGTGCCATGGCGTCCAGCCTAGAGCTGCCCGACAGAACGGACCAGCGCAGGCCCCACAGTTTGCTCCGTGTTCCCAGAATTAACCCCAGGCTTCCAGAGAGGGCTGGGTTCCAGACTCCGCACCCCAGCTTCAACCAGCTCAGCTCTGCCTTTCCTACTGCAGGCACGAGGTTCTGTCTTACATTGTCCTGAGGCAAGGAGTCCTGCCTGAACAGGTGCAGGAACAGGTGCAGAAACCGCTGCAGGCACGCTCCCCGCGATGGGAATGCAGCCGCACTGGAGGGTCTAGCCTTTGCCCACGGTTCTGTTTGGAACCCTTGGCCAAGCCCAAAGACTATTAGCATTAGCAGGCCCCAAGAGTCCTACCTAGAGATCTGAAGCCACTGTCCCTCTACACCCGGGGGAACAAGCTGGGGGACTATGAGGACAGACAGGGGTCAGGAAACACCTGTGAAGAGCAGGTGCACAGTCAACCCTCCAAGGAGGCAGAGGGCGTGGGGAGGCTGTGGCGACGGGGACATCCCCGTGAGACCCGCAGTAAGCAGGACACTGCAAACCTGCCCCGAGAGCATCCCAAGTCAAAGACCCTGGGGAAACCAGGGTCAGTTGAGAGACCTCTGCGCAGAGGTGTGCACAGTGCGGTTCACTCGCACCTGCCTGGTGGGCCGGAAGCAACAGGAACCACCCCAGAGTCCTTGTCACTAAAACAAGTGTCTTCACAATCTGTTTTGTTGACTAGAAAATATACTGTTGAAAAACCGATGAAAACGGTAATGCGATCGGTCAGTGGTCTGGGTAATGGTACTGTAACGGTGTTAATTTCTTCATTAATTTCCTGGGGAGGGGCATCTATTTTATACAACAAACAGAAACCCGAGGACATGGGCACATTGATTTTTTGACACTTTTTAAATACCAATGATAAATAACTGGCCAGTACTCGTCCAAAGGGTCAAGGCCACGAAAGAAAAAGACTGAAGAACGACTTCAAGTGCAAAGAAACTGAGATGTGACTACTGAGGACCAGCGCGGATCCTGGACTGAATGTGGACCAACGGACACCAGGAACGCTGCAGCCTGGGAATAAGGGCTGTGGTTAGACGGCCCCGCAGCAGCGTGCGTTCGCGGATTTGGGTAACTGTTCCCGGTGCGCAAAGTATTATCACTGGGAATCTGGGTGAAGGGCATAGGGACATTCTTTGCACTATTTTGCAACTCTGGAATTATTTCAAAATTTAAAAAAATATTTTCAATTTAAAACTTAAATAGGCTCTTGCTCTGGAGTTAAAAAATGCCATATGTAAAGCCAAGTTTGAAAATGTGCTATAGCCGGGGTGGGGCATAATAACGGCAATATTACCAATTAAATTTCTTGCCAGCTAAGCTGCTCACCAATTCCATATTTCTGCAGTCCAGCTCCTTAACCTCCTCCACCAACTACCCACCTTTCCCCTCTGCAGGTGACCCTGCCTCTTAGATCACCGAGAATAACACTGGCACACACTCAGAAAGTTCAAGTCCCTGGCACTGCACTGCGTTATACAATCGACTCATTTTTATTCTCACAACAACCCTATAATACAGTTACTATTATTATTATTCTCATTTTACAAGTGAGGAAGCTGAGGCACAGGAAGTGTTTAAGTTCAGAGGTGGGACTTGAACCCCACAGTGTGCTCATAAGCACCTTATACAGCCACCAATGGAAGAAAACAAAGTGCAAGGTCAATGTCAGCCTCAGGCAGGACAGAGGCAGGAGGAAGGGTGGGGGATCTCAGGTGTCTGAGTAAGCTCACAGCACCCTCCCCCCAGATCTGACTCAGGACCCATCCTCGTCCCCAAGTCCATGCCAAAGGTTCTCAACTTCCTTGCTACTGCAACACCCAGCCTGACGGGACGGGACGGCAATGCAGGCGCACACAGTGTTTTCCTGCGGCCCTCACCCGAGAGCCTCAAGTTCAGACAATGCAACACTCTACTGACCGCCTGATGACAGTAAATTAAGTTGATTTCCAGAGAATATTACAGGAACTATTAAACAAGTTTTTCCATTTGATGCTACCTCACCAAAATAGATAGAACTAACACTGAAAAATGTTTCTAGTTTGACAGTATTATACTTACTGGTGTTTCCTTTCCTATGCCCATGGAGCGCTAGCTAGTCAAAAGCATTTCTCCACGCTCAGCTGCACAGGTGCATGTTTACTAAAGTTACTCTGAATTCCTTTTACCCACAGCTGTTCTCCACAATAACAATTTCTAAGAGCAATTACTTACATGGGTGCCAAGGAGGCTCTTAACATGGTTGAAGCCTGGGAGGGTGGGGGCGAGGGAACAGAAAAGAACAGACTGTGTTAAACATTGACAGCAACACATTAATCCTAAATCACTATAATAGCGCAAAGTCAACAAACTTGCTAAGTTTTTGGTTCCACCAAGATTCTCCAACCATAATCATATATTAAAAATTAGCCCAAACTGAAGTTGATCAACGCACTACTGAAGCATATTCCAAGCCGCCCACCCCTTGGTTTATGGCTCCTCCACTCCAAGGAACAATCTATTAAAAAAAATGGGTGGGTTCCCCGGACCCAACTCCCAGAGGCACTTAAAGCTGCCTGGTCAAAGGCATGCAAAGAGAACAAAGCAATAAAAATCATTTAATTATCCTGTTTTTTCTTTACTAAAATTGTATCTTTGACTATAAAAAGAACACATTGTACTTTGTACCAAGTCAAGCACTACAGAGTGTTTATAGAAATATAGAAGTGTTTATAGAAAAAACAACCCCCCTCCCACCCCACTCCTCTTTAATCCTGGCTATAGGCCAAATCATTGCCCACTTTATAGCTATTCACACGGTCCCCCCTGCCTCTTTTTGGCCACTACGGGCAATGCTATATTAAATATGTACTAACATAGAAATAACCAAGTGCTGAGTGTGGCACTTGTTTGAACCAACTCAAGCCAAGGGCAAAAAGGTATTCTGAGAAAACAAGGAAATCTGAACATGGACTGCACTGGTATGGAAGAGTGCGAGGGAATTAGTGTTTATGGTGTTAGGCAGTGTGGTCATGATCTGGTCTGTTTGTTAACGCCCTTGTCTGTTAGAGATATAGACTGACTTATCTACAGGTAAAATGATATGTTTGCAACAGGTCTTATTTTTATATTTTTTCTTCATTGATTTTTTTTAGAGAGAGAAGAAGGGAGAGGGAGAGAGAGAGAGAAACATCGATGAGCGAGAATGATTGACCAGGAATGGAGCTGGCGACCTCTTGGTGCATGGGTCAATGCTCAACCAACTGAGCCATACTGGCCAGGCTGTTGGCAACAGGTTTTAAAGCATTCCAGGAAAAAAATAATAAGTAGAGGAGAAGAGAGGAAATCTCAGCTGTCTGTGGGGCCCTTGATGTCACCACAGACCTCAAATGGTCATTATCCATGCTTATCATATTGTTCTATGATTATTTTGCAATCACTTCTGTGTCTTTCTCTTTCAGCAGACATAGAGTTTCACAACGACTGGAGGTATGTCTATCACCCTCGTGTCCCCACACCTGGAGCAGTGCTTGGACAAATAGAGGCACTCGACCAACATTTGCTGTGTGAATGAGTGAACAAAGACTGACTCCCAAAGTGGGCACTCAGAATCCTGGACTGCTTTTCACACGGGCCCGGCCGCTGGCCGTTCTGGGCTGCCTCCCTCCCTCCGCAGTGTCTGCAGGGCAGGCCGCTTCCCACCCAGGGGTCTTCACACCCTGCCTGTAAATGGTCCATGTATGTTTCTATATTCTTAACCCTTGATTTTTTTTTTTAATGAAAGGAATTACCTATTCCTGTTGTCAGTTTAAATAGCAAGGAATTCAGAAAATAAATTTGGAATGTCAACTAAATTACTCATCTAACCCAGTAAGAGGACCAAAAAGCCAAGGCAATGCATCACGAAGAACACGGCCATACAAAACTATTAGCATAATGCACACATGAAAAAGGTATTTAAAAATTCAGCTGGCCCAGCTGGTGTGGCTCAGTGGTTGAGCACTGACCCACGCACCAAGAGCTCACCAGTTCGATTCCCACTCAGGGCTTATGCCCAGGTTGTGGGCCAAATCCCCAAAGGGGGGCATGCAGGAGGCAGCCAATCTATGTTCTCTCTCATCAATGTTTCTATCTCTCTCTCCTTCTCCCTTCCTCTCTCTCTAAAATCAATAAAGAAAAAAAAATTTTTTTAATTCATGATACTGGCTAATCCAGTATTTCCACAAATACAATTCATCAACAAATACAATTCATTCCCCCTTTGTCAGTTAAAAAAAATGTTTTCTATCTTTTAAAACACCAATTCTCTTTTACTAAACTCTATATGATTCTATTTGGCCTGTGAAGGAATGAACTGGAAAACAGGAATAACTGAGCCTTTCATGGAAACACCCAGGATGTTAAACGTTGAGACTCTGTTACCCAGCCAATGGCCCAGCATGGTCTCCCTGAGAAGCCACTGTGGCGCACACACTGAGCACCCACTGAACACCCACTGAGCACACACTGAGTACCCCCTGAGCACACACTGAGCAGCCACTGAGCACACACTGAGCACACACTGGGCACCCACTGAGCACACACTGAGTACCCACTGAGCACCCACTGAACACCCACTGAGCACACACTGAGTACCCCCTGAGCACACACTGAGCACCCACTGAGTACCCCCTGAGCACACACTGAGCAGCCACTGAGCACACACTGAGCACACACTGGGCACCCACTGAGCACACACTGAGTACCCACTGAGCACACACTGGGCACCCACTGAGCACCCACTGAGCACACACTGAGCACCCACTGAGTACCGGTCTCTCAGTACCAGGGATACACACGAACAAATCAGAAGCCCTCTTCTCAGAGAGCCTGCAACCCACTGGGAGAACCCGAGACCAAATAGTTCTCTGGGCCTCGGTTTCCTCATCTGAAAGTGGTGGCAATAATAGCACCTTCCTTGCAGGATGGTTATGAAAATTAAAGCAATTACTATGGGCCTCCTCATTCTCTACATCCCCCAAAGTATCAGATCCCACTAATTCTATCCCTAAAGCTCTCACACATCTGCCACTTTCTCCCCAACCCCCATGTCGGGACATTGTTCAGGACTCCCTCTCTTCTGAAATCCTGCAACAGTCCCCTAACAGTAACAGTCATAACTGTTCTCGATACTGCAAACGTGTTAACTCGTTTCATCTACTGCTATTTCAGACGAGGAAACAGGGACATTAAGCAACTTGCCTGGGGCAGAGGGGCAGAGAGGCGGCTGGGCTCCCACGCCCATGTCTGCTCTACGCCCTCCTTCCACTCAGCCCCCGGTGACCTTTCCCAGGGTCAAATTTGCTCTTGCCACCCCCCTCACCCTGCAGCCACCCATCCCCAAAGTGGGTTCCTCAGACACACCCAACGCTCCAGTCACATGGGCCCTGTAGCTCCCCAAGGCCAGGCTGTGCGTCTGCCTGCAGCTCCTCTCGTGACCCTGTCGTCCCGTCTCCCTGACTCCCGGTGGGGCAGAGCTGGGCTCAGACGGCTGCCCTGGAGACATGCCCAGCACCTCCCCGCGCCCCTTCTCGAAGCACGGGCGGCCCCACTGCCTTCGGCACCTGGCAGCATTTCCATGTTGCGTGGAATCTATTTCTCTTTCCCGCTGGTGGGTCTCAGCGGGGAGGCGATTTTGCCCTCAAAGGACATTTGACAGTATCTGGAGACATTTTTGGTTGCCGCGGGGCGGGGCGGGGGTGTGTGTTACTGGCATCTAATGGGCAGAGGCCTGGGATGCTGCTGCCCATCCTACAAGGCGCAGCCACACCCACAACAGAGAACTAGCTGGCCTAAAATATCAGCAGCGCCGAGGCGAGAAACTCTGCTCTAGACCAGGTTTGCTGTTCGTTATTCATCTTTATATCTAATTGAGTATCTACCCAGCACAGAACAGATACTCAAAAATCTTTCTCCAAAATGGACTGAATTACACAAGGACTTGCAGTCACATCCAGGCCTCAGGGAAGGCCAGAGAGGACACCGCGGTGGGTGCGGCAGACCCCGGCGAGAGGACAGAGGTCGGCGCACCTCCCCTTTCTCTGCGTCTCGGTGCCGAGCTCCGCTCCGACAGGGCTGCTAGAGCTGAGAAGTACTGAGCTCCAATGTCGTGATGGCACTGAAGTTTACCTTAACAATGACACCTGGGTGCAAACTTGGGGACCTCAGAGCAGGCTACGCTTCCTTCCCTGGGTGGTGTCGTTAATATTAACGACGACACTTGATGCTCTCATCTGTTGAGCAACCTTTGCTCTGGACTAGGTTTCTGAACGCGCCGCCAGCTGCGGTGCTGCTCTGTGTGGGCGCTGTGGACACAGCCACAACAGGCTGGCGCAGAGAGAGGCTCCGGGAAGAGAGCGATGGGAGAGGGTCCAAAACCATCAGTCAGTTGGAATCATTTCCCTCCCAAGCTAACAATGGGCTTTGAACATGGATGGACACGCTCCAGAAAGGATCCCCTCACTAAGGAGGCCCTGATGCGGCCCAAGGGGTGCTGTGTGATTTCCGGGTTTCATGCCAGGAGCTCAGGGAATGGCCCCTCTGGGCTGGGGGCTCCCCTGCATGGATGTGCGCACACAGGAGGTGAGTTCCCAGCTGTATGACCAGGGAAACCTTTGCAGAGCACAGGTGGAAGCACGGGACACAGTGGGACAACGAATGTATTAACCATCAACTTGCCCTTGACCCCCACACTGCCAGGCTCAGGGCCAGGCTCTCTGGAGCCCAGGGGAACAGCAGCGTCTGTGCCTGCCAATTCTCAGCAGCAGACAAGGAGCCTGGGCGGGGCCCTCGGTGGTCACGTGTGGGGGAGGGGGTTACTGGGGCCACACGTACCTAGGACAGCTCCTGGTGACAAAGGCAGGATGAGGGGCTTTGTCAGTGATACGTGACGTCAGGGTGTTTAAGAAAGCAGCATGAGGGGTGCTGTGACGAGCGGCCCTTGGTCAAGATGGGCTGGAGGCGACTGCGGGAGACAGGACCGCGCAGCTCTCTGCCTGGACTTCCCGGACTTCGTGTGCGGCTGGCTGCTGTGGACCCGGAGACAGCAGGCCTCAAACTTACCACGCGGTGGTTTGTTTGAGGGACAGGAAATTCCTGTGGGGTCAGTGTTTCTAGGCACATCTTCTGGAAAATTTTGCTCTGCAGGATGGCAGTTGTGTGCATGCCGGGGGTCAGAAAGAGCCAAGGACACCGCAGAGGCTGCTGAGGTGACAGGAGGCACATTTGGGGC